CATGGAGCGTGCTGCTCGAGATAAGGCAGAAAAGGGTGACAGCCCCTTCCTGTTTCTGAACACTTAAAAAGTCCAACAATTGATCGGCAGCCCCGCCTCGAGAGATGGATCGTCGGATTGCAGGCATCCTAGCATGACCTGCGATGTCCCGAATCTTCGCAGAATGGCAAGGTGCAACAAGAGTCGGATTGAACGCACTTTCGTGCATTCTTGGACTTGAAGTGCTACTGTAGCTTCCGATGATTGCCGGCAGCACGTTCATCAAAGGAAAGCGGTGGGCTGTGTGGTATCGTGCAAAATCAAATCAAGAAATAGAGGGCACAGCCGTCGGGCAGCCAAGCGATGAAAAGACAAGATGTCCCACACTCCCACACCACAAAAAACCAATCATGCATGACCCACCGATCGCAGCACAGCAAGTGCTTCGACTAGTCCGGCGGGTTTCTGATGCAAAGACACCAAGTATATTTGTAATTGGTTTCCATGGTCAAGAGCAGAAGCAACAGGTCTGGAACATGAATATGATGATATCTCGAACTGCAAAGTTGGAGTCTTCGCTCGGTCATCAGACATTCAACTTCACGAGTTAGGTGCATCCAGCGGCCCTATGTAGAACTTAATTATTTGGGACTTGTCTCAGCACCAGCTCCCAAGCCGTGGCCTCGGGCATGCGGCAATGTACTTTCGAGAATGAGGAGGCTTTGCAGCTGAGATCTGGAAATGCTGCAGCGGGACGTGTGAAGATGAACCAAGGTACTTACAGATCTGATCGATGCAGACTCTGGAGTTCGTGATGCTTGAAGTGTACAGAAGCTTCTCTATCTTTATCGCTCTCGCTCTAGCTCCCGGTCTCTCTTGTTTTCTCTCTCGCTCTCGCTCTCGCTCCCTCTCTTTCTCTGACTCTCTCTTTCTCACTCTGTCTCTTGCTTGCTTGCTTGCCTGCTTGCTTGCCTGCTTGCTTGCTTGCTTGCTTGGGGTATGAGCCCCCGAAGGAGCCCTGGCCCGAAGGCCTACCCCCGTGGCACGCGTCTGTATGTCGGATAAGCCCCTTTCGGGGTGAGTGGGATCCACGTTCCCTGAATGTGCCTTCAGTTGACCCCCCCCGAAAACATGCCTTCTAAGACCATCACCACTGGAACGGAAACCCTAAAGCATCATTCAGGTCATCCTGTCTCGAGCTCTGGTGAGAACTTGCGCTAGACTCCCCCCGCCCAACCTGCCACCCGAACTCAAGCCTTGCGCGACACTGCCTGTACCTGCCCACCCCACCCTGAGCTTCACACTGTCAGTCGAGCTGCCGCTTGAATGTGGGACGCGTGAGGTATGACCCCAACAAGTAGGCACAAAATCGTTCAGGCGAGACTTTACCGCGGCCTGATCTCGACTGAGGCAGGCTCTCTTCCGATGCGCTTCCGACTGGCATTTGACACATAAAGAGGTCCTACTTACTGCAACACAAACACCAGTACCGCCCCCGACTCTGGAGCCCCCAAGTAAGATGATCAATCATATTGGTAGATCTTGTCCATGTGCATCGTCACCTCCTTGTGGTTCTGCTGCCGGTCCCCCTGGTGCTTGCTGTGGTTCGTCTTCGCTGCTGACGAGTTGTACTGCGCCTCCCCAATGTGTTTCCGTCCAGGTCGCCAGGTGTCGTATACTGCCTGATCCCTCAAAGACCTCATCTCCCCCTCCAGGAAAGGTAGTAGACGGAGAAGCTGTTTCTGGGCGAGGTAGACGTGAGCGGCGTTGGGAGGGTCACGTTCTGCGCGTGGTGTTTGCTCTGTGCGTCTGTTGGATGCACTTCTTCAACGGCCCCCCGGTGTGGGTAGACTCCTGTAGAGGCTTCATCTAGGAGGTACCTAGGCGGGGGAATTCAGCCGCTATATGTTTGCTTCCCCCCCGTTGAAGTGGCTGCTGTAAGGAGGGCCAGTGCTTCTTCGGCAGCATCAGTGGCCCAGGTAACCTGCCAGTTTAGCTCCGCCGCCCCCTCGTCAACAATGCATTGCTGGCTTGGACCAACTCGAGCAACTCCGAAAGCTCTGCTGTTGACGAGTTTTCTTCCATACCCCCCACAGTCAGGGCGGCGATCTCGAAGGCGTTGGGCGTCGGCAGGGGCCGATCCCCCCTGTTCGTCCCCCTTCTTGGCGGGAAGTGTGTTGCTGCTGCTGCTGCTGCTGCTGCTGCCAGTGACCCCTGGGAGGCCGATGTCCTCTGCGAGGTTCATGGCCTGCACGATGAGCTCGCTTGCCTCCACTGCGCAGTCTGCTCGTCGTTGTTTCCCAGCTCGTGTGCGTCCGGTGCATGTTCAGCGGCTGCGAGGGTTTCGTCCGAGATGGAGTGCAGCAGCACTGCATGAGGCTTGGCTGCGTGCCCTGCGGACTGGGGGGACTCGGCGTTTTTGGTGTCCCCCAAAGTTCTTCCTCCGTTGTACGTAGCCCCTGGAAGGTCGTCGTCGGAGTCCCCTTCGTGCGGTTGTGGTACCTGCGGTGCATGTGGTAGG